GTGAATATAATATTTTATCATACATATTATTATTATTATACTTTCCAATTTCATATTTTTTTTTTTATTTTTACTCTGTGACATTCTAATTTAAGGTTTAATTCTAGAATGTTCTTCTTTCAATTGTAAAAAATTTTGTCTCTTTATCATTATCTCCCTTTTATTGGTGATAAATTTTACCTTTGAACTTGATTCAACTTGATAGGCCCCGTTTTATTAAAATTTTATTGGCAAAATAAAAATTATAAAAAAAAATTTATTTTCTATCATTATTATTATTATTATTATTGTTAATAAATAAAATAATGTTTGGTGGAAATAAATAAATAAATAAAAATTTTAAATTTTATTCTAGAGATTTGAAGCTGCTGCTGAAAAAGTTAAAACTCTAACGAAAAAACCAACAGATAGCGAATTATTAGATTTATATGCTCTTTTCAAACAAGGTTCAATCGGTGATAATGAAACCAGTAAGTTTTATTTTATTTATTTATTAAAATAACAATTTAATTAAGGGCAATTAAATAAATAATAATAATGATAATGATATTTTTATTCACGGTATACTAATCGATGTTAAATTAATATGGAATCCATTTTTTTTTTCTTTTTTTTTACGTTTGTATTATACGTTATGGTAATTTCCATTCGAAAAAAATTCCATTAAAAAACAAGAATTATTCTAGAATGAATGTTTGAATGAATGAGAATGAATGACTTGCTTAATTTAACGTACATTGTGTATGTTTGTGTTTGTGTGTATTTGATTCGTGGCATGTAATACTTTTGATATTTTTTTTTTTTTTGGGTCACTTTTACATTTTTTCCATTTATTATAACCGTTCATAATTTTTCATTTGTGTAATAAAATTTTAAATTTAAATTTAAATTTAAAAAAAAAACATATGCATTTTTCAATTGACGTTTAAAAAACCGGAAATGATTTGTATGACCGGAAATGATTAATTAATTACGTCGTTGTGGTGCTGTTGTTAAAATTGGTTTGTCTTTACCTTATGATGAGTGAATTTCCATTTTCATTTTTTTTGACAACAGAAAAAATTTTTTATTCCATTTAATTAAAAATCGATCACGTGGGAATCGTAAATAAAAAAAAATTGTCCCAAATAATAATAATAATAATAATAATAAATTTGTAAGTTGTTCGTGAATATTTAAAATAATTTTTTTCCTTTTTTTTTTTTTTTTTTTTTTTCATTCCAATTTTTTCGTTCTTTTTCGTTTTCGAAACATGTAGTAAATTATTATTATTATTATTTTACGACAGAAAAAAAAAATCAAATCAATCTTAGGAAATTTCATTAAAATCATCATCATCATCATCATCATCATCACGAATTGTTCAAAGTACAAGTAGAATTGCAAAATGGTTTGCAATGTTTATTTTTTTTTTTTTTGTTTTTCTCTCTTGGCTAAATTTAATATTATTATTATTATTATTATTATTATTTGACTTTTCTGGTTTTGTAAAAAGGACAACCTAAAATACCTACCAACCTGAAAAATTCTTAAAATATTTTTTGAATGATAAAAATAAATTATGAACTGTGAGTTGGAATTTATTTATTTCGACCAAAAATTAATTTCACAACAATTAATTGTTTAAACACAACATTTAAATTGTTTAAACAATTGTTTAAAATAGAATAAAACATGTGACGTGATCGTTTAAGGTATTTTTATTAAAATAATAACGACAAAAGGTATAAAATGTATATTATTTACAAACGTTTGATGCATATTTGAATAGAAAGTTGAAAGAGAGAAAGAAAGAGAGAGAGGGGGAGAGAGGGAGACAGCCCCCCCCCCTTAGCGCTATAAATATAACTTTTATGTCTTTTTTTTTTTTTTTTACTTTTATAGTAAGTATCACAATCTAAGAATATTTTTTGATTTTCTCCCCCATGAGATTTACCATCGAATACCCTGAGGAGTTCAATTCCAAAAATGTTTTGTCAACAAAATTGTATTGCTTAAGAGAAAAAATTTTTTTTTTTTTTAAACAAACACTTGATGGATTTATTTATATCAATAATAGTATAATGATAATGTTTTGTTCTTACAGGCAAACCGAGTTTTTTGGACATGAAAGGAAAATATAAATGGGAAGCATGGACAAAAGTCAAAGGAAAAACACAGGATGAAGCAAAAGATGAATATATAAAATTGGTCGATGATTTATTTACAAAATACAGTTAAAAAAATTTAATAAAAAAAAAAACACATACATAATTAAATGCGTGTATTTATATAAGATATTATTATTATTATTTTTTTTTTTTTGTCATCATGTTCACATCACAAAAATAATTTTTAATCGTTTTTTTTTTTTTTTTTTTTTTGAAATCCCGAAAAAACTGTCAATTTTTTTTTTCGGTTAGAAATGGGAGAAAAATAAAAATTTTGAATAATAATAATAATACTAGTAAAATTTATATTAATGATAAAAATAATTTATATGGAAAATAAATTAATAATGAAACTTTTATAAATTATGAACAATTATATAGAGAACAAATTAATTAATTAGTTTTTTTTTTTTTTTTTTGGTTAACAAAATTGATTTAATTTTTTTTTTTTTTTTGAATATATTTATCAATTTATATTATTTTATTTATGTTTCTAAAAAAATTTTATTATAATTTAAAATAAAAAAAAATTAAATAATTACAATTTATTATTATTAAAAAAGAAAATTTGTTTAAGCATTTTAAAATTTTAATTTTTTGAAATCCATTGTTTTATAATTTCCTTTGACGTGATAATAAATTGGACTTAATAATAATTAATAATTAATAAATTGAATAATTTAAAATATTAATTTGATGACAAAAATATATATTAAAATTTATCATATTTTGTAGTGTTTTTGATATTATATTTTGACAGATGAATGCACAAAATAAAATTATTTGCAGGGAATTATGAATTGTTTTAATGGAGAATTCTTTTTTAAATTATAGTAATAACTAACACTTTTGTTTTATCTTACCAAAAATAAAAGTTATCACTCATAATAACAAATAGTTTTAATATATTTATTAATCTTCTATGAGAAAAATGTATGCACGTACAATAAAAAAAAAGTGGTTGGCAATCGACGTGGGACTAGAATCGTGAAAATAGTAATTAACGGTTTTTTTTTTTACTTTGCGTTATTGCGCCTCATTAAATGTCGTGTGAATTCCGGAATAGAATTAATTTAGTTATTAGTTATTTTTAATTTTAATAAAAAAAATGTTATTTTAAAAGTTCAACAGGGGAAACTTTAACATTTATTTCAAAAGTATATAAATTAAATATTTTTTTTATTACATTCTTATAATATTTTAACTGTTTTTTTATTTGAAAATTGTAACCATTATTCCAACTTGTAATTTGTTTTTAAATTTTTCTAAAAATCGGATGCCAAAAAAAAAAATGAATGATTTGATTATAAATAATAATTGTTTACATATAAAACGCATTGATAATTGATATATATATTTTTACTAATATAATTTAATAATTTACAGTAATGCATGTGATTACATTAAAAGAAAAATTCAGATGGGCTGCTGAAAATGTAAAAAATTTAAAGGAAAAACCTAATGAAGATGAATTATTAGAAATATATGCACTGTATAAACAAGCTGAATTTGGTGATTGTAATAATCGTAAGTCATAAACTTTATTAAGAAATTCTTTTATCATAACTTTTTTATTTGTTCAATTCATGAATCTGTTATCGAATTGTGTGGATGGAGTTGCAAGTTAATCACCTTTTAATTATTTTTAGCAATTTATATAATAATTATTATTAATTTGTATTGTGTTATAGGTTAAATTTAAGCAATACTAATTTACTAACTTAATAAGTATTCAAAACTGAACTGATTACTTTTTTACTGTGAAAAATTTAAGTGACAATTATCATTGTATGAATGATTATAAAGTAATTTATATACATAAATCATTGAGTAAATTTGCTACTCGTAAGTCAAATTTTGGTGTAATGAAATTAAAATGATTATATTTTAAAATCCATACAAAAAATTAACTAATTATCAAAATTGAAAGTTCAAATTATGAGTGTTGTAATTTGTTGCCAAAGACTGCATTGTATTTTTTAAACTCGTTAAGAATTATTGTTTCTGATAATTGCAAAATAATGATAATTATCATTTTTGTATATGATGTGTGTGTGTCGAATACATGAATTCATATGTGATGTGTTTGAATAGAATAAAATGAATGGGGTAGATAAAAAAAATTTGTTTGGAAAACTATGAAAATTTTAGAGATAAATTAATTTTTTGAAAAATCTGCCTTTAAAATATTTTAAATTGGTAGTTTGTGTATGAATGACTGAATTTCTGGTAAAACAATTAAAAAATTTAATTTTTAATAATATTTTTAAGATTTTCAATTAATTATTACAAAAATATGGATTTTTATCAGCATTTACGACTACTCACATGAGTACAAGTTGTCTCATCGGTTTATAAATTATAATTAAAATTGTTTAAAACTAATGTTTAACTTATAAATGTTTCAGTTTATTTTTTTGTTTAAGTAGGAAAATTTTTCTAAAAATTATATTTTCCAAAAAAATTATGTTAATGTGTCAATAATTACAGCCCAACCAAATTTTTTGGATTTTATCGGAATTGCAAAATGGCTTTCATGGAATTCTAAAAAAGGTTTACCATCTGAAAATGCCATGGAAGAATATATAAAACATACAGAAGCAATTGTTAAAAAATACGGTTTAAAAGAATAGAAGAAAAAATCAAAAAATAATTTTCAAAAATTTTGATACTAATAATAATTAAAAAAAAAAAAAAAATTTTGATTTGATATGTTGTAAAGGGTCAACGTTTTTGTTCTGAATATAACCGTTGAAGTTATTATTATTATTATTATTTTTTTTTTTTTCAGACTACGTTTTGATAATGATAATTGTTTGCACTTTGCTTAAGCACATTTTCCTTGTTTTTGTGACTTTTTGATTTATTTTATTATAGATATTCATAGACTATAAGTTCATAACAGATGACCCAATCATTGACATAAAAAATATTTTTTTTTTTTTTTTTATAATTAGTTTTATCTGTGAATAGGCACAAAATTTATAAAAAAATTAAAAACAGATAAAAATATAAATTTGACCCTTTTTCATTCTCGATTTAATTAACTTACTAACTTTTTTTTTTTTTTTTAATAAGTTATCAATTTTTTTTTATTATAAATCGCATATGTTAAAATAAATTTTTTTTTACGGTTTAAAATTTTATAAAAATGAAATAGACATTAATAAATAATAATTATTATTATCATTACGTGATGTCCACATGATTTTAAACATGATGATTGAAAATGAGTTTTAAATTGTTAATTTTTTTTTTTTTCTGTAGACAAAACATTTAAAAATTTAAATTTAATTAAAATTGCATTTTTTTGTTTAAATTGAGAGTTGTAGATATCACTAAAGCATACAGCATGATAATAATGATGATGATGATGATGATGAATAATTGAAGTGTGTCAATCGAAATGTATTATCGTTATTAATTATTTATTTAAAAATATTAAAATTTAATGAAATTATATAAAAAATTTTAGCTTATTTATAAAAAAAAAAATTGTATATATATATATAACTTTAGCCTGCGCTAATTTTATTTTTTGGTCATAAGTTTTTTTTTTTGTTTTTTTTCCTGATTCGTGACAATTTTTTTTTATTTGTTGTCAAAAAGTAAAAAAAATGTATTACTCACTGATTTATTATGTAAAACGCGTAAAATGTGGTTAAAAAAAAAAATTATTATGGTTCGATTGAGGTCAAAAAAAAAAAAAAAAAATCAAAAAAATAATTTAAACTTTTTTTTTTATGTTAAAAGTAACCAAAAAATAAAAAGAAAATTTTTTTTTTTTTTTATTTATAATTTTATGTCGCTTTTGTTATCGTCCAATTAAATTTCGTCATTTGATTAATTTTATAATTTTTTTGTTTTTTTTTTTAATGTCAGATTGTGCATTTTAGATTTTAAAAAAAAATTATTTATTTATTTTTTTTGATGTGAAAAGCTAAAAACTAATTTTAGTTATCAATTTTTAGTTAAAAGTCTTTAAAATTCTATACAATAACGTTAATGTATAAAAAAAAAGGTATGATAATGGAGGATTATGTACCTGAAAATGATTAAACCTTGGTTTAAAAATGTATAATAACTTTAATTTTTTGTTGTAAAGTTTAGTATGATGTGTGTGTGTGTGTGTGCGTGTGTATAAAAATGTTCAATTTGGGAATTTTTTTTTATTTTTTTTATTTTTCTAATCCCTAATGATATATAATTAAAATATTCTTTATTTTAAAATGTCGGCCAAAATTTTTATTGAACAAAGAAAAAAATAATAAATCATTTGAGAGAGAGAGAGAAAAAGTGATTTTGTTTTTTTTTTTTTTTTTTTTTTAATTTGTTTGATATCACTTAATGTTGTTGTTGTTGTTGTTTTTGTTTTTGTTTTCAGGATTAATGATAATGACATAACTTTTTTTTTTTTGCACTGTATATCATTTCAGATGAGATTTTTTTGAAAAAATTTCGAGAGAAAAATTTTTTTTTTTTTACTTTCGAAATTATTATTAAACACATCGGATCGGGCACATCCTGTATGAGATTTTTTTAAATATTATTATTTTTATTTTTTTCAGAATCATTTCCGTTAGAGATTCGATTCTATTAATTTTCAATTTTATTATTTTTTTTTTGTAGAAATTATTAATTTTTTGCATTTTTCAGGTTTTTTTTCCTTTTTCTTTTCCTTTGGAAATGTTTTGATGAAAGGAAAAATGTTTACTCGTCTTAAAGAAATTTCTAGAAAAAAAAGAAATGAAAGGAAGAAGAATTTTATTAATTAAATTTTATTTTTTTTTTGATTTTATTGCAGAAGATAAAAAGTTTACAAGTTTATTGCCACCGAACGGTTGTTATTAGTAAGTCACGTTCGTTAAATTCGAGTAATTAAATTTAAACGGTTAATTTTTTTTTTTTTTAAATTCATACGTTTTATTATTATTATTATTATTATTATTTGTACGGGTAATAATCCTTAGTTTGTTGCGATTGTTTCATTTTGGTTTTGCGTTTTTTTGGTTTTTTTTTTTTTTTGACTTCGATTTTTGTTTCGATTTAAAAAAGGAAATGAATTAACGATGCGTAGGTTTTTTTTTTTTTTTTAATAATGAATGCGTTTGTTAAGTAAACAAACAAAAACAAACAAGCAAACAAACGAGCGAAAAAATAGTTTTACGATAATATTTCTCTCGTATGATTTTTGCAAATTATGCGTACGTATTTTAAAATGTTAACAAGCGTTCGTTCGTTCGTTCGTTGTTGTGTTGATAACCGTGATAATAATTAACTGATAAAAAAAATACCTGGATAACATCCAGGTATACACATTTTGAATCGTTTGATAAATGCACACTCGTTGAATTTTTCAAATTTTGGAATTGGTAAAAGAGTATCCCCACCACCACCACCACCATGGACACCAAAACTTTTGGCCGTTCTACTTTCCATAATGTCTGTTGTCGATATGTGCAAATATTTCAAATAAATGATTCATCGTCCTAAATAATTATTTAATCGGAAATTTATGGGAAAAAAAATGTCGATTCGAAGTGTGTGTGCGTGTGCGTGCGAATACTACGAAATTTTTTTTTTTTTTTACGGTTGGTATTACATTCGAATAAGGTACATTGATGTAACTAGATATGTTCTTTTTTTTTTTCTTCTGTAATTCGAACCGAGAAAAAGTAGACTTGGAGAAAGTCAAAACATTGATATTGTTAGAAAGAAGAAGAAGAAAAATTTGCGGTGAAAATGGGGAAAAAAGGTAGAGAGAAGAGAATAGGAATTAGTAGAACAAGAAATATGATGAAGAGAATGAATGAATGATTGATTGGAGAGAGAGAGAGAGAGGGAATTTAAAATAAATTTCGTTAAAAAAAAAAATACACGAGGATATTATTAGTAAAAAAAATCCCGGAAATGCCAATACGTTGTTAGCGCATTCGATCGTTGTTGGCCAATGAAAAATGCACGAACTGTTTTTTTTTTTTTAAATGAGAAACGCGCGGTGGAGAGAGAGAGAGAGAGAGAGAGAGAGAGAGAGAGAGAAAAAGACAGAAAGAGAGAATGAGAGACTAGTCAATGGTCTGACGCGTTGGTGTTATGTAGCTCGTCGAGGAGGAAAAAAGAAAAAAAAAAGTTTTCGTGAATTTTTTTTTTTCGGTTTATTTTTTTTATTTTGCGATTTCTAGAAAAATCTTTCGGTTCTTTTATTTTATTTTATTTTATTTTATTTAGTTAAAGTGATGATTTTTTGGTTTTGCTACTGCCACGATGATGAAAAATAAAATTTGTTTGTTAATTTTTAATTTGTTAGTTCGACGATGAATTCGATTTGTAATTAATGGTTTTTTTTTTTTATTCTCGTGACACGATAGAAAAATTGTTAAAGTGTATTTAATAAAAAATTTTTTTTAAGGTATGTTTTATAAATTTTAAATTTTGATTCTTTCTCTGTCTATCTAATGATTTCTTGTCAGGATTTAATACCAAAACATTACCTGAAGGTCGTGGTAAAAGAACAGAAAATAAAAAAATTCGATTTGTGAAATCGTGTGTGGAGTGAGAGAGAGAGAGAGAGAGAGAGAGAGAGAGAGAGAGAGAGATAAACCTACGTAATGTTTTTAAAACACAAAAAAACAAGTTGCGCGAATGTAAATGAAAAAAAAAAAATGTTTTCGATGTCGTTCGTTCGTTTGTTCATTACGAAAGTTTAAGATATTTTGCATGAGAGAGAGAGAGACGTTATTGATAAATTTATTATTATTATTATTATTAGCATTTGGTCGAATGTATATATATATATTTGATACCTGAATCGTTTTTGTAAAACAGCAAAAGAATAATGATGATAATAATAACTGTTTGTTTTTGTTTGTTTGGTATTTTCTGTCGTTCATTTCCGTTTTAATTTCCTCTTGCGTTTGTTTTTCCTAATGATCGTTTTCAGGTGAGTGCGTGAGTGCGTGTGGTATGTTATCACAATTAGGTATTACTCGAGGCATTTAAGGTATTCCATCCTTCGTTTTTATTTATTTGTTACGTTCGTCTCTCTTCTCTTTTGTTTGTTGATTGTTTTGTCTATCTGTGTTTGTTCGTATGTTTTGTGTTTCGCTCTTCCCTAAGTCGTTTGTTAGAAATTTTGTTAGGAATAGAGAAAAACGATGGTCGTGGTTTTAATGTTAGTTAGTCGTGGCAGGAAAAAGTGTCTTATCATCATTCGATTAATTACCGTATTCAAAACTGTTTGGTTCTTCTCTAGTTTTTTTTTTTTAACGTGTAAATTTATATTTTATAACATTAATTCATTTATTTTGTGTGTGTGTGTGTGCGTGAGTGCGCGTTCAAATTTTTTTTTACTAATAATAATAATAATAAGAAATGCTGCAACCTTGGAAAACCCGTTTTTTTTTTTTAAACTGCGTCAATGATTTTCTATATGTAACCTGATTAGTATTATTATTATTATTTTTTTTCGATGAAAAACTTATCGCGGAACAAATTAATTTTTAAATGTTAAGAAAATGATTTCGAGTTATTATTATTATTATTATTATTTAATGACAGACGGACAAACAAACAAACAAACGGAACTTTGGGAAAATAATTTTTACTCAATATATTTAAATGATTTTAAAAAAAA